GTGGGCCCAAGCCACGCGAATACTTGGGGCTTGCTGAGCGGGTTATGGTATGGATGGTTATGAGTATTGACGAGGCCCTTTGATGGTCCAAAGAGTGGAATTTTTAGGCTGCTTGGGAGCACCAAAACTCAAGCCCATTCCTTGAGCCCAAACATATGGGTAAGCATGAGAGAGAAAACCTAATAGCCCATCACCTTAAGAAAGGGCCCACAACACTTGAAAAAATCCCACATCAACCAAAACTTCCAGCAGCTTAACAAAATCAAAGGAAACTCACAAGCCGCTGGAAACAAAATAGCCCAGCCCAGCACCTTATCGAATATCCAACATCGTGGAAATATCCAGCATCTTTGTTAAAACCAGATTGAAGCCAAACCACCAAAACCAAGCAAACCCATGTGCTAATGGGAGTAAATCACCTTTTGACTAGCACCCTTACCCATTCTTTCATTTGCAAACTTTGGTGAGAAAATGAGAAGGAAAAGTGCGTGGTGCCTCACCCACATGGAGAAGTCCAACTGTGTGAAGGTCTTGGAACTGCAAAAAGCTTCATGCCTACATGCTCAAGCTAGGGAAGTTTCAGTAAATAAGATGGAATGGAAGAAAGTAAAGGAAAAGAGGAGAGGGTGGCTTGATAAAATTGAGTCTTCCAGCCCCTATAAAATGAGGCACTTTCTACCCAGCAAAAACTGATCAAAGGCAAGTATCCCATCTGGAACCCTTCAATTTCATGCTTTGTTCTTCCATCTTCTTCCTCTCTCTCCCATAAACCCATATCCAGATAGAGCAAGCATCATTTCTCATCCTTGGAACACTTCAATTTCAGGCCATATTCCTCCATCTCTTCCCATTTTCTTTTCTGTCAAGCAACCCAGGACCCTAACGAAGCTTTCGTCAAGCTACTGGAAATCTGCTAAAGCCACCCATGCTTCTAACTTCTTCCTCTCTTTCCGATACACACATCTAGAGAGTAAGCATCATCTCTCATCCTTGAAACTCTGCAATTCGAGCCTCATTCCTCCATCTCCTCCCATTTTCTCTTCTAGTAAGTCATTCCAAAGCTTGATAGAGCTTTCGTCAAGCTGCCGAAAACTACACAACCACACCAACTACTTCACCACTAGCTACAACACACATCCAGAGAGCAAGCTTCATCTCTCGTCCCTTAAACCTTTGCAATTTCAAGCCATATTCCTCTATCTTCTCCCATTTTCTCCTCTAGTAAATTTTTCCAGAGCTTGATAGAGCTTTCGTCAAGCTGTGGGAAACTACTCAACACACCCATTATTATTCCCCTACCTCTCTCTCTTCAACGAACCCCTTTAGAATCCTTTCTCCCTTGCCTTAAAAACTCTATTTCTCATAGGAAATCACAGCTCTTTCTTTCTCTCTCTCTCTCTCTCTCTCTCTCTCTCTCTCATGCTAAACTCATGAATGCTCAGATCCCATGCCACAAGCTTCTCATGCCAAGCCAATAATTTATCTGTAAGGGACTGTTTGTTTTATTGGTGAAGAAGACCAAGGTGTTTCCTAAGGCTCAGCTACCCTTTCGAAATGCTCTTGGGGTATGATCCTTGAACTCATACTCAAAGGGCAATTTCATACATTTGGCTCTTTACTGCCCATCAATAGCTGCCGGAACGAAAAAGCCCCCACAACATTCAAATTATTGTATAGACCCTTGATTAGAAAACCAACATTTAAATACTCGTGACATTGCTCGACCATGTACTCATATGTATGACATGTTTTGACCAATGCACATCGCATTTGCACTGCTTGGGCTAAATCAGAATTTCAAATAATACGGTTACATCGGATATATGGCGATTGAAGTGGAGTAACTAGTTCATGATTGTGATGTGGTTTAAAATTTGTCACGTTGTAAGTATCACGTTTCTTCTCATAACCTGCCCAAAAAAAGGCAGGACAATTCTCTCTTGTAGTTGGCTTTGCTAGCCAAATCTTAATCGGGTACCTTATTAAACTTTTCATTTCTCAAGCCTTCTTTCGAACAACACCACCGTCTCCTACTTACTTTTTCTTCTGTGTTACGAACCAATATATCTTTTCTCATGCTAAATCCAATGGCTTTTGCAAACTCATATAATATTCTTCTGCTAATTTTATTATTTTAAACT